ACGCCCATGCGTCCTGATCACCGAGAGATCAACGAATCACGTAGGAAGTGGTCCTCGTGTTTTCCTTCCTCTCGTTTCATCGACAGGTAGCGATGTATAAATGAAATATCGTCTGTCCTCGACGTCGAAGACGAAACTTTTCTGCCGTGAGATAACTTTGTCACGGTCGATTCGACGCGTTCGAGGGGCGCGACTATCGCGTGGGAGTTTATCAGCGACCACGAGTGGTTACAACGTTCGTTGATTTCTTGTAAAAAGTAACCGATCGTTTCGCAATTCCAACGACAAATATTTTAGAAATTGCCGAACGATTCTATCGTAATGTTCGGTGTCGACGGTTTCGTAAAGATTCGATTAGAATTCAATGTCCCCCTTGAAGAAATCACGTAATAGCTTCTCTTGTACTTGTTGATTTCCATCGATTTATCTCCATTGAATTCACTGTGCACGGAATAACGAATAGAAAAGCGAAATGGCCGAACGCATATATATTCGCGCGCCACCATTAGCGGATAGACTGCATTTTTCAAGAAATCTCGAAAGTCGCGCGTGACGTTCATTAGTAGGTAGGGCTTGTTTTTTCCCAAGACATTTGTAATTTACTCGCTTAGGAAGCTGCTTGACACGTTCACGGAATTTTAATTGTCATTTAAAGCGTCGCCTGTCAATGGGGTGAATTACTTCTCACCCCGCGATCGTTTTCGAAATAAATCAAAAACGTCGTTCGAAAACATTTATAACCGTGTACTCGAACGTACGGTAGAATTTTCCTTGTCTATTCTTTTTACGACATCCTTCGGTTCGTTAGTATTCAAATTCGATCGTGATACACCTTCCTTCTTTATTTTTTCTATTTATTTCTTCAGACGAACGGAATGAAGCTTGAATTTTTATATTGTACAGCAAAATACAGCTTCGCCATTTTACTTGGTAATGCATTGCATTTTTTAACTGAAAGATGTTCTAATTTTGACCATTAAACGTTTATCGACACTTTTATTTCGGTATGAAATTCAATTTTAAAATGTCCACTTGAGGTAAGTGCGTCTAATTTCATTTACAAGAATTCTGGACATCCTCGTTTAAAGGAAAATTCACATTTCTGTATCTAATTAGTCTCAGATGAAAAAGAAACGGTGTGTATTTTATATAGGTATGACAGATTCGAACTGTAGAAATTCAAAAGTTTTCTATCAAAGTTAGAAACACACGAGATAAGCAAAAATCTTGAAAAATGCACCTAATTTCGCCTACGCGAGAAATATCGATCAATTCGTGCATTTACCAACTCTGAAATCGTGACTGTTTTATTATATTAATATACACACGCGTATTTCACGTTTTCTATTTTACACGCAGCGAACCAGCAAAAGTCTCGAATGCAAAACAAACGCGGCTCGTTAAACCCGTTCCGCCCAATTCGTCCTTACATAATCAGAATCCTTTGTGTGTCCTGACTTGTGCATCGGTGCCCGTGCGTTTCATAATATATGCACCCTAAGAGACCGATGAAGGCGAGGGGTCAGCGAAACGGGACGAAAGCAAAAAGCGAATTAAACCCCGGACATCCTTCTGGCTTACGAACGAACGCCCACGCGTTGCTGAAAAGTTGCAAGCCTCCTAACAGAGATAGATAGCCAGAGAGAGACAGAGAGAGAGATAGAACTCGAACCCATCCGTGGACATACGACCACGTGATTCTCAGTTTCACGCCCCCGCACCAACATCACGAAACATCGCTAACTCATGCACACACGAGCCGTGTCTGTCTCGTGCACTCGCTGGAAGGTCGTTTTCTTTCCTCCACGCCGCGTAGAGCTCGCTTACTACGCCAACTTACTCGCCGAGCTCACGCGTCTACTTACTTCAGTCGTAGCGCAGCGCTCGTGGCGTATGGAAGGCTGTGTAGTCGTGTGACGAGTGATTTCAACGCCCGCAGAGGCGCGCCGCTTCTTTTATTCCTCGTAGTAGGCCAACATTTCGCGCGACATTTCTTTCCCCCGTCTCTATTCTATCGCAATTCGATGGAATATCATCCTGCGAACTGAGGTAGTTTAAAGGACTTAGAGAAAAAAAGGAGGAAGCTCTGTGAAACGAGAAAATCACTCCAAGTGAATTTTCTTTTCTCGAACCAACTTCGGATTGTTACGTGAATATATCAAAAGTGTATTCTTTTTTTTTTTTCGTCGATCGTCGAGAATTATCCTGTAGACCGAGGACAAAGTTCTGAGAGATTCTTTCGTACGTGCTCGTTCTCGAGCAAATGTGTCGTGGTTGATCGTTCGAAACTGTAATTACAAGTATAATAAGGGATTTCTTGTTCAAGTGATAGAAAACTGGATGCACTCAATGCCACTTGTTCGACAAGTGTAAACATGATTCCCGCGCATTGACGTATGCACCGGATCGCGAGTGCAGCTTGCACTCAGCTGTGAATTCGAGAGAGAAAAAAAGAGTGAGTATCCTTGTGAATATTCACGACCATTTTAATCGCACACGCGAGATAACGTTATCGATTGATACCGCGTTTATTATTCTCTATTCCGTGCACGTGATCGCTCGATGAAGTTGTAAAACGGAGCTTAACGACGTGCTTTTAATTAGAATAGAATTAATCGAACGCCCTCGCCGATTTTTACGATACGTCGAATTCAACGAGTTGAACGTTTCCACTGTGTACAGTTGACGGCTTCTCTTTTAAATCGCGATGGTAGAACGGCTGATTATTATTAATGAGAGGGGTACAGTTAACGCTGTGAGAATGGTTACCATTTTTTCTTCTTGCGCTTCCTCGTTATGGAAACATTTAACAATCGGGCCACGTACCGCTTCCTCTTGGATGCGCGTCGACGTATCGCGAATGTTTAAGCTTCGAGCTTCTGGCGCGCAGCTGCGTTTACGCTGTTTACGCCACTCTTTAACCCTTTGGCTGTTCACCGAAACAGCGAAATACCGCGAAAGAGATGGTACATTTTCTTCACGACTTCATTTTGTCACGATTGCAATAAACATCCAGGAGAAAATGTGTTTTACAGTTAGCTAGGTGACATTGCGTCTTTTTTGACGTCGTGTACACTAAACAGCGAAAGGGTTAACCCATTTTTCTATTAATTTATTTGAGGGTTAATTAAATTTTTACCCATTTCATTCTTTAAACAGAATACGTGGCAAATCGTGACTCTGTTAAGTAATATTTTTTTTTTGAGGTATTTTGTGTGAAAGAAAAGTAAAAAGAATTTTTTACTGTAGCATAGCTAACCCTTTAGCATCTATGAACGAGATATTTGGCGGACTGATTATTACCCAAACTCTTTGGACGAAATGTTTCGAGTTCCAATGAAAAGACGCGAGATATCTCACCCAAAGAGTGGAACAGTTAAAAATTTACGCGCGAGATATCTCGGCCATAAATGTGAAAGGGTTAAGGACCTCCGTCTCAGTCGCGTTACTTTCCTCTCAACACAAAATTATCACAAAACTGCTTTTTTTCTCTACTTTATACCCGACTTTCCACGTTTACCGAACCCGATAATCGCCGCCGCTCCTCGATAATTATCGGACGGCCTTCACCACGATTGCTTCCTTTTGCAGCGTTGAGGAGGAAAGCTACAGAAGCTGCCAGCTAAACGAACATTCTATTTCGAACGAATGTCGCATCTAGATAAGACGAATTTAGATCAACCTGTAGTCGAGAATTCTTGTTAATCCTCGATATCGTGTCCGAGCATACTAGTCTTCCTCCTCGTTATTGGGTTAATTAAACACAGCGAAGGCCACGGTTAGATTCGCGCGAACGTTGCAAAATCATGCGCCGCGATTAAAGGGGAATTTGAAGTAGAACGTTGCCTAATTTCACGCACGTTTTAATCAAGATACATCGAGAAGAGGTTCAAGATTAATCGACTTGAAAATAGCTAACAGAGAAAGAAAGAAAAATAAGCTAAATAGAGCGAATTTCACGAGGGAAGCAAGTTTCTTAATTAGCAGCCTCACGTTTCTCCAGATGAAAAGGAAGGAAGAAAAGAATGAAATGTTGGTTTCAGGTGAGAGCAAAGAGGCATGTTGAAGCACGTGTCGGTCTCGCCGTGGAGAGGGCGAGCAGACAGCGTGAGTTTAGCCTCGAGCGGGGGTGCAAGTAGCTGCGGAAGCGGAAGTCCAACCCCTGGTCACACGCCACCGCCTTCGAGAGCGTCCTCTTGCGCTTCTCTGGCACCCTTGACGGCACTTTCGAGCTTCTCGCCGGCCGACGCGACGCCACAACAGGTAAGCCTTGTGAAAAGTCTCTCCCTTAAATTTCGACTTTGTTTTGTCGTTCGACGGTGAAAAACCTTTTGTTCCCTCGTTTAACGAGGGACAAACGATCCAGTGAACGTCACATCGCATGAAAAAGTCGGTCGTTAACCGAGAGGAGAAAGGTTGAAAGCGCCGCGGGAGGGTAGGAAAAAAGCAATGACGTGGTTGCTTAATAAAGCAAACGAGGAGAACAAAACGTTATCCGTGAAACGGTCGTTGAAACGGTTTCGTGAAAACGAGAACAAAACGATTCCCTGCACTTATTAACAGCTGGACCACGTGTGTCCTTGCTTGGTCGTGCTAATGGGATTCATCGACGGGACGTGTGTTTAATCCACGATTATTTTCTGACGCATTCGCTCGACTGATTACTCGCCTCGCCGAAAATAGCCGCGATTAGGACGAATTGTGGATGGATTGTGAATTATTGTATAGTATAGAATGATTTTCACTGGTTGATTAATTTCGAGCATGACACTTGCAGAATTCAACAATAATACAAGGTACCTAATAGTTACAATTTACTATTTTGAATGAAATTGACATGACATGTCAGTCACGACGTCCTCACGACAATCAGAGTACTAATTAATTCAAGAATTCTATCATGTATGATATTACACGTTATCTGTTTCGTTTTGCTTTCGATTACCTGTAGTTTGTTTACTTAAAATTGAATAGAAATTGCAATTATTAATTTCTATTCTTCTTTAAAAATTAATTCTAATTTTTGTCACTGAGAAAAAGGTATTCTTCGTTACTTTCATTGAAAATAAAAAATTCCACCCTACGAATGAACAATTTTTAAATTAATCAAGATTTTTACGTCCGTACGTATTTCTGAAAGAAGGTTGCCCATGACAGTTCTATTTAGAATACTGTATAAAATTAACTCGTTTCACTCCTACTGGACAGAAGTCAGGTTTCGCCAGAGGGTGAGTTTCTCACGATCCAAGTGTCCCCGAGTTCGTCCCGTTGCAACTGACGGCGCGGTTTCGCATCCCTTTTTGCGCGAACAGAAACATGACTCTCCGTAGGCCCTTGATCCCTGCAAGATGTTTAGGGAGGCCAGTTTTTTCCAACATCTGCGACAAACCAGAAAACCCCCGACGTATAATAACCGCTCGGAGGCATTCGGATATAAAAATTTCAACGAACACGTAGAATTTCAATGCTGAGTGAAAAAAAAATGTTGATCCTTCACACGGCTTACGGATTGATGTAATCGACACTAAGGTCAATTTCTCGCGATACATCGTGCAACCGTCGATAAAAACTATATATATCGCGTTGTCGACCAATAAAAATTAGGGTCACAGCATTTAAAATGGCGAACTTTGCATTATTGCCGCTATCCCAGTTTCTACGGCTCCAGATATTAAACGCGCGCCTGTTGAATACATAGATCGACAGACCGCGAACTTTTCATTGTATTTTGCGTTTGCCTGGCCTGTTTCACACGCGGATGCGCCAAAGGTCGCTACAAAACGGATGACTTCTTCCGTTAGCCTCTTCGAGAAAACCATCTGCGTCCGTGTAAGAACATCCTGGTCACCCATGTGAATATTTTTACAGCGATTTCGTGACCTCTCTCCCCAGCCTGCCGTCCCGTTTCTCAACACTTGACCACTGCAGCTTTGCCCTAACTGTAAAACCGGCGATTCTCTCATTTAAACGTGAAAAATTAATAGGGGCAATTTAAAATTCAATAAAGTGATATTCTTTAAAAATAAGTCTAGAAATTTCGCAGAGTACCATATTTTTCAAAGCAAATTTACTAAAATATTCTCTGTCTCAATCCTCTTTTTACGGCTTCCATAAACTCTGCATCTCTGTGTGTTGGAAATTCTTAGAATTGCATCGAATAAATATGCCTTCATGTCACCAGATAGTCACCCTGGTGAATCCTTTATTAAATCGCGCAAATAAGAAATCTCTTCATACTTTTCTCAAAAACAATTTGCACGAAATTTACTTCCCTCCATTGAGACGAGATTAAAGCATTAAAAAGTGCAAAATTCGTTCAAAAACGAGAAATTTCGATTGCTGCGAAACACGAGAAATCTTTGAAATGTTCCGGTGTCGCTAATTTACACGTTCGCGGGCCACGTTTCCGCGAACTCGTAAACAAGAAAATGTTTCTTCTCTTTTCTTCTGTTCCCGAAAAATATCGTTTCGAACGTCGGACACGCTTCTCGCCAGTTTCCCCGGTGTCTTTCGGTGGTCGACGTTTATCTCGGTCTGTACGTCCCGCAGTTTTTGTCGATGATGGAACCGAGGATTCTCTGTGAGAACCCCGCATGCCGAGGCGTCGCACATTGCGGCCGACGACTCACAATGTGAAGTGAAAAACTATACGAGCACCGCTGGTAACCCTGGTGGATCCACTTAATCGCACTTGCTAGCTAGCACCCGTCTCTCCTTCAACTTTCCTTCCTTTCGTAGGTTGCCTGGAATTAGTGGAAGAAACAGTGACCTCGTAGGTTGACTGTGAAAAAACTTGGACAAGAAATAAGGACTTTCTTCGATCACCAAGTGGTCCGTGTCGATTTTAATGGGGTTTCGTAGGTAAACAGGGGAACCTTCCTTAGGTAGTATATATTATATGTAATTCTCGAGGAATGAGGGTTTCCCCTATCCTATAAATTCATTCCTCTTAAACCTCTTACAAAGAAGAGAATTGAAGAAGTTACGTGGAAAATCCTGAGAAGTATCTCGTTTACTTGATTCAATCTTAAAACCGAAAAAGTATTATTGTACTTTGTCAATTTATTTTGGATCAAAAATTTGATTTTCTTCTTACTGTGAAATTTGCATATTTAGCAAACGAGAGTCGACGCTGTGACATTTATTTGACGCACGGCGAGGGACGATATTAACAGTAGAGACGTAACAATACAATGCTCCTCGGGGAAAAAATAAACGTTCGATTGGCGTCGTCTCCCCTATTGATACCGAGTGGCAGTCCGAAAACTTGGCGCCGACTGGATTACATTATAATCGCTTATGGTGATAAGTTGTCGCCACAACAGACCATCAATCAGCCTCGATAGAGCTTGTACTTTGAAACGTTACTCCTATTTGCAATTTTTTTCTCCTTACAACACGAGTGAGAATTCTTCTTTTTTCACACATTCGTCATTTTGTAATTTCTTGTTTTTTTTTTTAAATGTGGAATTGAATGATTCGTTCGAAATGGGAATATCAGAAGCGTATTCTAATTTCGATGCACAGAGCCTGGCCACAGAAACTTTATCGCGCCGTGCGATAAGATAAAGAAGAAGCCGCGGAAGAGACACACGGTCTTACGATTCCCTGGCTGGTCGAGAAAGAGGCTTCTTGGAACCGGTATGAAATAAAATGTATTCTGGTCGAGGTTTTTCGTTGTGTGTTAAGCGAACGGCAGAGAAGATCGCGGGGATCCCGTTGCGGTGCTCTCTATACCGCACAGCTTTTACGTAAGCGTGCACGATAAGCGAAAAAATTCATTCGTCGCGTGCAATGATCTTGATAAAGTCAATGTCTCCTCGTGGACACTCCATTACGATGCAAAGTAGCGTAATTACGGTCAACAGACTGTAATAAAAAAAGAAGAAACAAAAGACTGTGCGACACTTGTGTGTACTCAAATAGAAATCAATCATATCTAATTAGACACTGGAACCTTTAATTAAATTCGAAAATACTCCTGCTTCGTTTTACAAATTACAATCTAATATTTTGAAGACTAGTTTCGAGATAAATTCTCTGGTCTCTCTCTCCCTTTCTTCCGTCATTTTACAAATTACAATCCAACATACAACTTCTTACATTATCAACGAAATAAATTCAAAAATATATACGATACGAAGACTATATAGAGTTTCCAGATAAATTCTCTCTCTCCCTTTTTTCGTGCTACACGTTAGCCCTACATAATGTTTCTGCCATGTCGTGCATTCTCTTCCCATAGGTATCGTGACGAATTAAAAACCGCAGGATTCGCTTTGAAGGAAACTCGATCGATCCAGATCGATCGTAGTGGTGGCTGGCCGGCCACCACGATACGTACGAAATCACGTTCCACCTTTTCGTTCCGCCACTGGGTCCCGGACCTGTCCTGAGCGCCTCTCGGACCTCGCAACATCCGGCGCGACGGCCCGTAGTTCCGGCTTTCTTGTGTACGCGCCGCGTTTTATTCGAACCGGTCTTGATAAAACGTACACGCCGTTGTTCCATCAGAATGTCCGAGTGTTATCCATGGATCGATCGACCTTCACCCTTGCGGCCGGTGATCATGATCGAGCCTCTCTTTCTGCGTTTATTCTCCCGCCACGTTACAATGATCCTCGACGAGGGGGGAAAAGGGGACACTGTGTCATTTGTCGAAATTGGAACGGAGAAGTGATTAATCAATCGATCATTCATTCGAATGATCGAACTTTCGAAAACTTCAAGGTTGATTATTTTGTTGTACACTTAGAATTTAAGAATGGAGGAATCGTTGGATAGATAAACTATCGTGTTAGAAACCCAAGTATCAACTTGTCTGAATAAATCTCCCTTTCAACGATCGAATACACAAGTTCTCGCGAATTTTCTTGCCACTCGAAACGCACGTGTACCAAGCATTGTCTCCGGAACAATATCCGCGACTGTGGTGTGTTTTACGTAAGCAGATTTACCAAGCGACGCACAATGAGAAAGGAACAAGTTCGTTTGGCGAATAAACCAGGGAAATCTGTTTAGGGAGGCCACGCTCTTTTCGCTTCCTGCTCCGATTCCTTCGTAGACGAAACCAGGAAACGCGGAGGCGTAAGAAATCGTGCATCGCATTAATTATCGCGCAGCGGTATGCCCGCATGACAGCGACACTGTTAGGCAGAAACTGGCACGGTCTCGGAAAAGGGAAGCCTTAGAGTGTAGCATCGTTCGAGATTTTTCAGAGTAAAGCCTGCCAGAGGGAATCACAATACCCCGTAATCAGGATA